GAGACCGCACAGGAAAAATCTGAATTAAAAATATACGCATTATTATTATTATTATTATTATTATTATTATTATTATTATTATTATTTTCTTTGATTTCTGGCGTTTACACATTTCTTTCCGGGTCCCGCTTTGAGACCCAAGGTTAGGTATGGCATCATGACACTTTCCACTGACAAAAAAAAAAATTACATTGATAAAGTGTGAGTTGTACTCGTGAGAACAATTATTTGTATTTCTTTGAGGCATGGGCTTCCAGGAATCCCTTCAATTAGTCTACTGGAATCTTTTCCAACCAGTCCTAAGGCTCCAACTATAATAGGGATTGTTGATGTTCCCATGTGCCACATTTTTGAGATTTCGATTTCAAGGTCCTTGTATATATTTTTATTATTATTATTATTATTATTATTATATTATTTACATTGTTCGGACTATTGTCCTCATCTTTGTCGCCATATTTATTACAAGGACAGTGGATAAAGGCGTTAGTTAGATCCAGTGACAGGACCCAAAGAAGGTGAGTTCAATACCCGGTTAAGGCAGGGGAGAACTTTCAGAGGGAAAATTATCAGGAGATAACTGACAACTGACATCCATTAAACATGGCACGTGGAACTCGAACAGTCTACCCCAGTGAGCGAAATAAAGGGTTCAGTTCGACATTCCAACCACCTGAAGAAGGCCGGAGTGTACAATGGCCGAAACGTTGTAATAAATATGGCGACAAAGATGAGGACAATAGTCCGAATAATTTAAATAATGTACATAATACCTCATCTCAGCAATATAGACAGATACTATTATTATTATTATTTTGTTTATTATTATTATGTTGTTTCTTTATGAAATATATTATTCAAACTTGGTTTGCCTTTCCCAGTCCTTCACTAGACTGAAGGGTACAATGTTAATGCACTTGATACGTGTGAAAGATAAAGGAGAATATTAGAATTTGTCGTATGCCACGAAACATTAAGTTTGGCCGTTTTCCCTCTATGATGTCCTTAAAAGATTATCTGTTATGAAAAATATATATATTCTAGTACTCCAAACTTTATTTTATGGATGCCCATGTTTCACAAGACGCCGTGTTATCTTTTAAAACATTGTGAATTCAAGAGACTTAATAAAGAAAGTATGCTTTACGGCAGGGTTCGAAAGTGACCTCCTCGCCATTAGACTAGAAATCACTGTTTGATTCGGCGCGATTTAGATTTGCATATTTTTTTGAATAAAGGGCCAAATCTGCGCTTGCTCTATTAAGGATAGGGACCAAGTAAATGAAAGGAGGCCATATTAACTCATTTATTGATTAGTAAATAAATGAGCAAGTATATGAATTTCAACTTTATACAGGAATTATAAAATAGCTGTTGCTAGCAATTAGAAAGAAACGGAAATTTATCTAACAATTAATAAGAAAAGACGACTTGTAGAATATAGATAGATAGATGGATAGATATGAATAGACTGACTGATATGAACAGAGATAGATAGATAGATAGATAGATAGATAGATAGATAGATATGAAAAGAATGATAAAGCTATTAATAGAATGACATACTTAGATATGTGTAATAGGATAGAAAGATAGGTAATTTTACAGAGATAATTTTATATCAATATTTTCTCAATAATATTTATCTAATATATACACACAGGCACGACCGCACACGTATATATACATACATACATATATATATATATATATATATATGTATGTATGTATGTATATATGTATGTATGTATACGTGTGTGTGTATAAGGATTCATTCAACAGTTTATTAAATTTGACTGACGCGTGTTATTTAATTTTTTTTAAATAGATTGTTCTAGTCGGTCGATTTTTCGTCGTATATCTAACTCAAACTTTTTTTTATAAATTGTCAAAAGCTGTTAATAATTTCGTCGAGTACTTTCGACGACTACTTATTATAATCAAGAACGTTAATGTAATTAGCTACAACAGTGAAAAATCTTTGACAAATCTAGAATAAAATTAATCACGACATGGCATAGCGTAGATTAGGAGTGGAGTGAACGTTTATAAAACACATATATATATATATATATATATATATATATATATATACACACATATATATATATATATACACACACACACACATATATATATATATATATATATAACACACACACAAACACACACACACACATATATATATATATATATATATATATATATATATATATATATATATATATATATATATTCTATTCAGGCAGCAATCCCTCATTTATACATGTTTCATTAAAGACGACAAACTGCGATTAAGTGTTTGCTTTTCTGGACACAGGGTGCGTAGAAACTGTCCAAATGTTCTGTATTTTCGAGCTTTGTCAGATATACTTTTAGCTTTTATCAAGGATGTTTTTATTTTTGTTTTTGTTTTTTAATTGGGTGTATGGATTATACGTATGTATCTAGAGTTATACGAATGTTTTATTTGAAAATATTTGAAGAAAATACAAAGGGA